TTGGTTAAAGTACAATGTCAAACACCTTATGATTCAGCGGTCTTTTTTTTTTTTTTTTAAAGGAATGGTTATTCTGTACTGAATCTATCAATGCAGGCAGACAAACCCATATTGGCCATTTCTACCAAAAATTTAACATAACTATCTGTTACAGTGAATCATCCATTGGCTTATAGAACATGTCAGCCATAAATGGCTAATTAGTGTGTATGCTACTGCAGAAGGCAAAGTAATGAACTATAGTCCACAAAAGCTTATATGGTAATAAAGGTTAACCATTAAGGTGCCATTAGATTGTTTTTGCTATAAGCAGTTAGGGTTTGAGTAAACTTTGCAAAACAGTCATGGCAGATGAATTCCTTTTTCCATTGCTTGTTGTATAAGTTTGTAGCTACCAATTACACATGGCCAATAAGGAGACAATGAAAAACCTACTCCACATTGTGATGTTCAACTCAAATCTTTTTCAAAAGCAAGTATTTACAGCTTGTAGTGACATGAAAAATATAAGAGAAGTATTTTCAGTAGAGTCTACATTAATGAGAAGATCCTCCTAGGCTGTCTCATAATATATTCAGCTTTTTCAAGCTTTCTAGGATAGTTCTAAAAAAGAGCTTGTTTCCTTTTCAGTGTTCAGTGAAGCTCTCTGTGTGCTTTATTAGAATTAATGTATCTCATATATTGAGTTCCTCTGATCATCAAAATGTATTGGAAATTATTTAATTATTGCACTTACTGGCTTCTGCTCCATAATTGGCCCATATAACTTCCTGTATTGATGCAGAGTTTGCATTCCGTTGGAGACCATGGAACACAACCTAAGAAGTAAGAGTACTCTTGGAAGCAGGGGATCAGGGTGACAAGGGTGTATTTCTTTGTGATGAGACAGGGAAAATCTGCAAGACATGCAATTCCACCTACACTTCTCTTACAAAATTGATCCCCATTACATATTCTGAATACCAAGATCAGTCTATCTAAACTTAGCCAATAACCATTTTTGTTTATCCATGAAGAAGGAAATATGTATGATTATTTCATTGCCTTCATATGAATAGGTGCATCATAAAAGGAATAGTAAGGTATATTTGTTGGTCATTTGTATATAATTTATGGGGAGAAAAAGCAGGGGAAATTACATTTAGAGACCTGGTAAAGTTACTCCAGAATCCTTCTGAGCTTTGTCTTTCCCAGCCTTTAGCATTTGACAAAAGCTGAATTTGTTATAAAGTTATTTGCACTTTTTGACACACAACTGTAACTTTTTATGAAACTTATGCTTCCCAGTTGTTTGTGCCCTTGTTCCCATTTGACTCTAAAAGACTGGAGCTTGCTATGTAAACCTTCATGGGCTGTATTTGCCCACAAAACTAACCTTGTAAAGAATTCTGGCTTATGGCAGTGATCCTCCTGCTAATATGCTGGAAATGGAGTGTGCTCCAGCTGTCAGAGAAAGTGACTGAACAAAGAACTGGCTGGTCGTTGGCTTCAAGTGGTGACTTGTTTGGAAGAGATAAGCTCATCACATATCATGAAAGAACCTTTTGCAGACCAAGTCTGGCTTAGTGTAACATGCAAATATAGCCTTTTCTTTTTTGTCCTCAGAAACCAATGATAATTTGATTTTGAGTTCTGTCCTTTTTTTACAGATTCAGAACACTGTATTAGTACTAATGTAACAAAATCAGAAATAAATTATCACAAAACTTCAGGGGTTAATTATGGTTTATTAGGCAAAGAATTACTAATATTGTAGAAAATTAAATTAGCAATGCAGCCCAACAGCTATATTCTTTAGCACACTGTAGCTCATCAAATGACTTTTCTCTCTGTTCTCTCTTTAATGAAGAGCTTGTGAGTTACTAAATATGTGAATATTTTCACATTGAGACATTATGCTATAAATGAGTAAGCCTGGAATACCCAGATTTCAAAAGATGTTGGAAATCTCTTACAATACAGCAGTCTCGATTTAACAGACCTGAGTGCAACAGGCTTCAGATGCAATGGATAAAATTCCCATTATATACATGTTGCTTTTATATCATTTGCTTAATGAGGTTACACTCATTAATGATGTGATATGATGCAAATTATGTAATTTATATCTTTGCATAATGTCACCACAGATTATGTACTCTGATTTAATGGACAATCAGAAATAACAGACGTCCATTTCCCTAAACTGGGCTGCTAAATCAAGGTTTCACTGTATTTTTTAATATGCTTTTTTCCCACAGAAAGATTTTTATAGCAATGGTTAAATAACATTACAGTAGCTTTCGTTTTCCACAAAGATATGCCATTCTGGACTCTTTCAAATAGTTTTTTTAGTCCTCTTACTGCTTGTTATACATACTATAATTTGAATTTATCATCATCTGAAAATAGCAACAGAAGATAACACAATAAAAGTTTATAAAATCATTTATCCACAGCTGTTTTATTTTGAGCTGCCTGGAACACAGGTTTAATCACCAACCATTTCTTGATTTAAAGTAATGTGTATTAGAAAAAAGTCATATATGTGCCCTTCTGTGAAGCTAATATAGTATTCTGTAAAATATATTTTTTTAGAAGAGAAGATACTGATAAGATTTCTTAAACCACATGCTTTTGCTTGTTTGGGAACTTAAGAATATGGTGGCCTAATTTCATGTATCAAGTGCAGAACTTAAGGGAAACCTTGCATGTAAGCCTAAAGTTGTAGTTAACATATATTCAAATGATAAAACTACGCCATATACTTTTCCCAGAAATGTCACTCACAACTTGTGGGCTATGAAGTAATAAAAAAAGGTGGTGTACTCCAGCTATCAGAAATGTGTATTGTAGATATTGCACATGCTGTATCAGTGTATGATTTATGTAGAGCTATTGTATCTGGATGGCAAAAATCTGGATGATCACCAGATGGAAGCGGCAAGTTTTCTATGGTTGTGTGGATTTTTGCAGCTCCAACCTGGTGGCCCTAATTGTTCAAATGTTTATGTATAAGATTTCAGTGGTTGAAGTCTCAGTGGAAGATTTATTATGAACAAATTATCAAACACGGTATATATATAGCCCCACATAGAGAACTATGTCTGGGCATTTCTGAGGCAGGATTTATGGTAACTGCGTCAGGAGATGGTGGTGCGGTTAAAATGTAATTATAGTACAGCATGTCACAATTAAAAAACAAACTTAATTCCTACCCGGTTTATGTGCTAAGATTTGCCAAGGCCTATGTTATATAGTCTACATGCATCCCTGTTTACTATGATTTCAGCCTTGTTTAAAGTAGACAAGCTGCTATACTCCATTTTGCTGCTGAACTACAACTATCAAAAGGGGGTCAATGTAGAAGTGATTCTCCAACATTAAGGGTTTTCGCAAGTTGCAGACCTCTTACAGACGAAATTTCACTGAGATGATAAAGAATGATAATTTGCTAAGAGTCCCCCACCCACAAAAATCTAATGATAATAGATTGGAATTATAAAAATAAAAGTGGATTTTCCCTACTTACCTCTCTTCCTGCTCCCCACGTCTTCTGCTTACTTCTGCCTGGTTTCCCTTCCTTTCTATTCCTGCCTCATAACCCACCAGGTACCCGGAAACTCAGGTTCAGGGAAGCTGATGATTACAGGGACAACCTGGTAAGATGCTAGCAACCCCTTCTCTTTAGATAGTTACAGAGTGATCTTTGTAATGAAATCAGGGTCCACTTTACTGTTTTTCCTAATAGGATGAATTAAAATGTATTGGGATATTATCACTCAGCCGGGGGAAAAAACTAATAGGTTTAGGTCTACAAAAGTGACAAATATGGCTGACTTGAGTAATCAAATGTATGAGATTAAATTTTGAAAAAGATAGTTTACAGATCATGCATACGTTACCACAGGCATCATCCTATATTTTCCCCCTTCTTACACAATACAGGATGCCTGTGTAAAATGATGTTTGCTTACATGAAAGTTTATTATTCTCTTCTATTGGAGTTTATTATTTTCTTTTCATTTAAATTTGCTGAACAATTAGTGGATATACTTGAGTGATTTTTAATCAATTTATCAATTAAATGTTGCAGAACTACAATGCATTGTATGAAATTGATATACCTATTTTGAAACTGTCAAAAATACTGGAAATGCTGTGAGAGAAGTATGCAGAATAATGTTTTGTTGGGATTAGTACCTTTTCTTTAAAAAAATAAAAGTCCTGTATAATCTGAAGCTATCATCTGTTATTCTGTCTTGTGAGAGCTATTTATCCAAAATATCCAAATAGATTTTCTTTGATGCCAATCCAAAGACGCAAACGTGAGAATTTCCTCCCACATTTAATTTTTAAAATGTGCTATAAAACTGGTAACTATTCTAATTTTTTAATTCAAAAATCATTTTGAGATTGTGCAAGAGTAAAATAGAAAGGCAGGGAGAATGAAAAATATAAAAAAATGTTTTTATATCAGGCCAGTATTTATTCTCCCCTTAACCGCTGTTCTTAACTAATCTCCAAAATACCTTTTCGGAATGCAGAACTTTAAAAAACTGTTTCGAAATCTGGTTATGCATCTTTAAATAAGAGAATCTTGTTGGAAATGATGTGCACATTCAGATTGAAGGTATGTGTACATAGGATCCCAGTCACAGTAATTACAGGTAGTCTTCGATTAACGACCATTCATTCAGTGACTGTTCAAAGTTGTGGTGCTGAATGAGACTTAAGACCGATCCTAATGTTTGTGGCCGTTGCAGCGTCCCAGTCACATGATCACAATTCGGGCGCTTGGCACCCAGCTCACAACTATGATGGTTGTGGAGTCCCGTGATCACCTTTGCAACCTTCACTGCCAGCTTTCAACAAGCAAAGTCAATGGAAAAGCTGGCAGGAGGTGGCAAATGGCTATCATGTGACATCATGCTTAACCGTGCAGGATTCGCTTAACAGTGGCAACTGGAACTGCTGCAACTGCCATCAGAAGTTGACATGATCACATGTCACACTTTACAACCACATTGCTTAGTGATGGAGTTGCCAGTTCCGATTACTGTCACTAAGCGAGGACTACCTGTATAACAATATTCATGTGGGGTCAGTTTCAAATTAAGTTTTACTCTGTAAAATATGATATATTTTCACTTCTAAAAATATGCATGTGAAAGTCCTACATCTTTAATGACACTAACAAGTACTCTAACTTGAAATTTTTGATTCTAGTCTAACCTTAGTAATTAATTTCTACAACCCAGAGGCTTTCTGTTACAGTACCAAAGAGGAACATAAACTGTACATTGCACCAGCATAGATATTCCTTGTGCTCCAACAGGAATTTTGTCCTGGGACTTCCAACTAAGTTGTACTAGAGTCAACTCCAGCAGAGCCACCAGCCCTATTTCGAGCCACTGATGAGGGAGGGTTTCTTAAGCACCTGGTCATAAGAAGCATCAGGACACAATTTGGCTTATATCATGTTGTTTTATACTGGAAACTATAGGAAAATTAATCTGCTGGACTTCCAGAATAGGTGAGGTTGTTTTGTTGGACCTCATTCTAGGACGTCATGCTTACTGCCATACTTTAAAATCAGACTTCACAGTCTGATTCATTCCTGATGATTCCTTATGATAAAGTAGTCATGATTCACTATTTGAAATGTGAGCAGTTCAGGCTCCTTTTCATGCTTCTATCGTGGGAGCACACAGATATTTTTGAACAAGGGAAGTAAGGGTAGCAGTTCTGCAAAAGCAATTTGGCTTCAGTTAAGCCAAGTCAAAAACCCCCATGAACGCTGCTGGTGCTCACTGAATTAACACAAGTGGTAAAATGCGCATGTGCATAGTTGTTAATTCACAAGTGCCTTGTTGGAGTACTTATAGCAGTAAAGAAGTAGCTATTCACAAAAATCCTGAGTTAGACAGTACAGTACATTCCTTTTCACTGGAGATTCTAATTTTAATTTTAGAAGATATGCTAGAAATAAGTTACTATTCCAAGTTTGATGTTTTATTTCATCCCGGCAACTTAAACTACAATGTATTATTTCTGTCTACCAAAAGATACATTAAATATCAGTGTTAATAAGGCTAATCTAATACTTGAGGATCTGGACATTAGCCGTTAGTTATCCCATCATTTCTCTTCTATAGCCATCACTGCAGCACATTATGTTCTTAGAACATTTTCACATCTTTATTGACTAATGCAAAAGGCTCATTTTTGAAAAATCAATCAATACACTCATCCTAAAGATGTAACTAAAAAAGTCTCCAAAACTTTCAGCAACATATGGTCAGAATTTAGGCACATGATATCTGTTGTTAGATGAGCATGATGGCCATTTGTACTTGAAATGTAGTCAAAGGCAACTGATGGTACTTTGAAAGGACTAGTAGTGGTCTTGGTTACAACTGGACCCAATAGCAGAGTATGCTTATACTTCCTTTCGAAGGCAAACTTGAATTCAGTACTAGATACACAAAAGTCTAAACTTTTCCCACAGCTATACATATCTACCCAGATTAATTAATCAGATAATGGAACTATTTGTGTGATGAAAGTAACATAATTTAGCTTATGTTCTTGGAGCTACCCTCATAAACTGTTATGGTTCCATGCCTCAGGTATATATCGAGCAATGTGTATGTATCTCTGCTCAAACAAAAATTCTTTATTCACTAGTTTCAACTGGAATCCTTGCTTCTTTTTTAAGACAAATTCTTTCCATGTGCCACTGCATACAACCCAGAGAACTCTGTGTTTTTAATATTCCTGACCTGCTTTCTGAAAAGACTGCTATGGAGAATATTAGCAGTGTAGCACCTACAATCTTGACATTGGAGCCTGGTTATGTTGTCTTATGATGTATGTACTGGAAGCAACCTGGCTTATTTCAAGTTACTCTTCAAAAGATTCCTTCATAATAATTCATTCTTGGTGAACATAAAATGGAAATAATTGTTTCCAGCATAGATGGAAAGCCAACAGGTTTGCTTTGTGGCATCCTTTGTATCCATGTGGCAGAATTCTCCCTACTTCACATTTGTTAATACTGTCTGTAGACTTCAGTGCCTGTCAACTTTCTATGATGTTGGACCATCAGAACACTTGCATGTCTTCATTTCTCCTGTAAAAGTCCATCTAAATAGCTACTTCGAATCCATTACTTTTGAGATAAGAAAAAGGTTTTTTTGGAGGAGAGGGCGTTATAGGAGGCAAATCAGGCTTTTCCCCTCTTCAATTTCCTCCTGGACTTTGTCGCTGGAGGTGGCAATTTCGGCTTGGGCAGAGAAGACTGCACAGATGAATGTCAGGACTGTGCCACCAATAGCAGTGTAGAAAGCCCAGCCTAAAGAACAGTCACCAAGTTTATAAGCTGAAGCATAAGGTCCACAATAGCTTATTGCCTTCTGACAACCCCAACCAGCAGGGTATAAGATCAAGCCTAGGATAAGGAATAGTCCTATTTAAAAGAAAGAGAAAGAATAGTTAGACAAAAGTACAATACAACTAGGTACAAACTGTAGCACAAAATAAAGGAATGTACATTCTGGTGCAAGTTGAAAGTTCTGATAGCTGCTGCTGAGTGCTTGGCCTGCAATCTATAAACTGGTGGACCATATTTTGCCCACACCGTGATTGCTGAATTCATGTCCTGAATATGATGGAGCATTTTAGCAAGGGGAAAGATGTGACTATACAGTGAAGGCTGAATTCAGCAGAACTTAGAATTTAGGACAGTGCCATCAATTTAAAAGCTCATTCAGATATACAAAGCCCACAGTCAGTTTCTATATCTTTGCTGACATCTAGTGGTCATCTGGATTTTTGCTGCCTGATATGTTAACCCTAATTAAAGTTATGGAAGAGAAATGGTCTGATGAGCTCATCTTCAGTTCTATGTGAAATTAATAGTGCTATGCATGCATCAAGGATCATTCACCAACAGTTGGGACCTCATGCATGTATAGGCGCTGTCTGCTATTCATTAAAGCAGTCCAACTTCTTTCAGCCCTGTGTGACCCTGAAAAAAAAATGGTGCTGCTTTAAGGACTAGAATACTTTTAATGAGTGGACTCCTTAATACAGTGGCATTTCTTTCTGTGTGATCAGAAGCAATTCTTCCAAGCCATTTTCCAAGTATCTGCCATTCTACAAACTAATCCAAAATCCACACTGGATACTGTGCCCAACTATAGTATTAAATATCCTATTACTTTCTAAAAGTCTGACATTTTCATCAAGTTCAAATCTACTAAGTCTTTAAACTATGAACTAATTTCTCATTTAAAACAAACATTCATAAGTTCTTCAATTATTGGGATATAGCACCAGCCAGCTATAAGAACAAGACAAAACATTTAAGAGCTGTGGATTACTCGTAACTTCTCATGTTATTGCTTACTGAATTCCATATATGAGCTATGGCCCTATCTTGACTGTAGGACTTTCTCTGTGGAATTTGGGATGTTGGGTAGCATTTCCTGTCAGAATGCCTGGGCCAGTGGACATATAAAATATTGCTTAATGTCAGGCAGACGGAGATAAACTGAGCTTTCATCCTACTGAGCCCACCAACTGTGGCAGACTAAACACCCCAAATCCCCTTCTTGATGTCATCACAAGTTCTTTTGTCAACGAGACCTGCAGCAGAATTCTTCTGATTGCTGGTTCTACTGTTTCTACAGCCACAGCTGAAAGGCAATTTGAAAATGACTGTATTTTGTCCAAAGTTTAATTTGACATGTTTTTGTCAAGCACACTTCCTTTAAAAATAAATGTAGTTTATCTGAACTGACATAGTTTCATATATTACAAGAAAGCATAATAAATGAAGAAAACTTCCATAGCACAAAACTTGACTTTATACTGATTTATTTGTCATGGCTTCCCTGAAAGGATTGGTAGCTGAATCTGAATTCTGTTGCCCCCCCGCCCGGTTTTCTGTGGAGAAGGAATAATTATTAACTCTACATTATCAATTGGTCCAGGCTTGTGGGGAGGGGCAGCACTGTATCTCTGCAATACAGGGTTTACTAGTTGTGGGAACAGCACAGTAATTTATTAGCACCTTGCTCATGGTCTAGAAGAAACTAAGGTTTGTTTTTTTAAAGTGAAAGCTCCAGATATGCACCAAGTTCTCCTTTTTTTATATGGCCTTAACCTTTAGAAGGTTTGACAAATGTTACCTGGTACCACCTGCAGCTATTAGGCAAGATTGATGTATTCCCAAAATGCAGCTTCCAAAGTCAGCACAATCTTACATTTGTCTATTAACAAATGAACAGGACAGCAACAGTAATGGGAGAAGGGACTCCAGTTCTTGGAACTGCTGCCTTTTACTTCAATAAAGGCACTGGAATTTTCCTCTACTTCAGTAGAGACTGAAATGTAGGACACATGAGCACGGCCATGTCACACCCTCTGTCTGTAGAAGCTCTGTGTGCATATATACCTAGATCTCAACTTTTTCCACCATGGGGTTGTAACTGTACTCACAAAGTTAAAAATGGTCCTTATCAGCCTTGATAACTCACTCCTTCCTTGGTAGATTCAGGATGCTAGGAAACTTTCAACAGTGAAAGCTGAAAAAATTGTCCTTGCAATGGAGAAAAAATACAATGAATTCCACTGCAGAGATTGTGAATTGCGTATTCTTTCTGAAGTTGAATACAGCTGCCTCTAAATGCCACACATTCTTTATGCTTAGGCTGAAAGTAATTTTTACTAACGGCAATCATGACTATTTATTTTATTAAAATGCCAACATTTGCAGGGCTCCAGCATGCTGAAAGTAAAAAATGAGCAACTGCTTAGTAACCTATGAGTAAAAGTTTAATCTGAATTGATCACTTGCTCATACTGGGACTTGGTCTTCATGCAAAACAACTAAGTATTTTCCTTTCTAGAATGGTAGCTGGAGGGAAAGGTAGTGCAGATGAGATGGCTATGAATCCTTCAGCCTTGCGCAAGTCTTGGCAGCTGTCTCTGATAATACTTTGGTCCTCTATGCATTCTTATTTTGCATCCAGATAATCTGGAATTATTTTGTAACAACTGAAATATGTACTTTTAAAAGGTTGGTTATCCAATATCTCTTCTAAAATCACGCATAGATCACTGGAGAGCTCCAAAATGGCGACTGCGGTTATTATTTATGTATTTGTTCATTTATTTAGAGAAAGGAACTTTGTGCAGAGAAGGATGATGAAGACCCTTCTTTCTACTCCATTCAGCAGGGCATTCAATTTTTCAATGCAACAACTTCAGGAGAGCAGGAAAGACTGCTATGGGAGGAAGGGATGGGAAATGTACTTTCTGCCAACACAAATGAACAATAAACCTAAGTCTGCATTTAACCCAGTGATTTTCAGGATTTTTCCATTTCCATGTTGCATTTTGGCAATCTATTGTTCTAAATTAAAATGTACTGGACTTATATAAAGCTAATTTGCCTTTCATGCAGACTAAACTAATACCACACTGAGAATGTTGTATTTGGCTTCAGTTATCATTAATTCAGCATTTAATCTCTATCATACAGGTTTAGCGATTTACATTTATTGAGCTATCTAATAAATATTGTTTATTGAAGAACAAAGGCTATTTTGTGCCATACAGTATGGGATTTGCATATACCAAACAGGTGTATCTTCAACCAGCCATTTTATCTGTAATTCACAGACTAATTAAAAAATGTAAAATTTCTTCTGTCTCTTCCTTTATATCCAGGACTTGTTACTTTGTCTCTGAGAAATCTGGTATTATAAATTCTTCAATACTTAAAATATTGTAGTGTCCTATATTTAATAACTCCTGTGTCTTCCGCAATGCACACTCAGGAAGAAGTGGAGTAAACGATATAGTGCCCTCCAAAAAATAAGTTCTCAATTATTCGACCCACCTTTAAAATAACTAAGAAATACATAATTTGGGACATAACCTGTTTTTATACATTTGCCAGTCATCCTTAATGACTGGAAAAGAAACAAACATACAATTTATTATTCTAAAAACAATGAATATAAATAGTGAAATTCTCTTAAGTAACAGTTATTAAACACAAGATGGCCTGATGAATAAAATTCTACAATAAGGGTGTGTGAGTGTGTTTAATTAATATAAACTGCCTAATCTCAGTTGATCAGAAAAGAAACAGAAGTCCTTGTAATTTTGAATGGAAATGGATTAGGTGGTGAGGCCTACGATGATGCCTATCATAGTTGTGAAGTAATTTTACTTTGGAGTCCTAGATGGTCTCTGAGCTTGGCTGTTTGATTGCAGACATTTCATTACCCGACTAGGTAACATCATCAGTGCTAGTGGGTGTGGGGTTTGCTCTCTGTTTATATACAGTAGCTTACCCTGCCAGTGTTGGTGGGAGTGTGGTTTTCTCTTGGTGGTTCCTTGATTAGGGTACTGTTTTCTGCTTGTTTGTCTGCTTGATTGTCTCCTTGGTAGTTCCTTGATTAGAGTGTTTTCTGCTTAATTGTCTGGTGTTAATCCCTGCTTATCTGGGTGTAGGCTCCTGGAGAGGGTGTGTTCTGGTCTTTTTGTTTCCTTCTTAGCTTTCTTATTGTCTCTTTGAATGGTGTGTAAATGTGGTTTATTTTTATGTGTCTATTGATGGCTGATGTGTCTGAGTGTTAAGCTTCCAGGAATTCTCTAGCGTTTTTTAGATTTAGCTTAGTCTAGGATGCTCACAGTTTCCCAGTTGAAACTATGATTGAGTCTGTCCATGTGTTGTGAGATTAAGGAGTTTTCATCATGTCTTCTAACTGCTAGTTGGTGTTCATGGATGTGCTCTGCTAATCTTCTGCCTGCTGTTGCACATAGTGCTGATATAGTCCTTATACTGTATGTTGTAGATGACTCCTGTTTTTTCTTCTTGGGCTACTAGGTTTTTTGGTTTACTTAGGATGTTTTGGAGGGCTTTAGTTGATTTGTGTCCTACTGTGATCCCATGTGGTTGTACTAGTCTGTTTGTTGTTTCTGAGATTTTTTGATGTATGGCAGTGTTATCCTTTTCATAGCTTGTATTGGTTGTGATGTAGTAGGTTGAATGGTCAGGCACTTTTTGATAAAGTTGTATGGGTATCTGTTTTGCTGGAAGATGTTGTATAGGCAATCTGTTTCCTTCTTCTGGTGTTCTGGGTTGCTGCAGCGTTTGTGCTCATCTGAATAATGTTCTTACACAGCTCCTTTGGTGGGAGGTTGGGTTGTTTCTTTGGTAATGGAGTACTTGGTTAGCATGGGTTACTTTTTGATAGACTTGTGTTTCTAATTTGCCATCATTTCCTCTGGTGATGAGGATATCCAGGAAGGGTAGTGTGTTGTTTCCTTCTTCCCTTGTGAATTTTATTCCTTTGAAAATGTTATTGTTTCATGTGTCTTCTCTAGTTGTTCCTTTTTTATTATGACAAAGGTGTTGTCTACGTACTGGATCCATACTTTGGTTGTATG